AGGTCGACGGAGCAGTTCTGGTCGACGGAAGGGGTCCGTCGACCAGGGGGTAGCTCGACGGGAGCTGTGGTCGACTAGGGGCGCCTGGTGGTCGACTGGAGACACTGGTGGTCGACCGGAGCACCTGGTGGTGTCCAGGTCGACCGGGTAACCTGCTCGATGAGTTCTGCGGAGGCACGCGAACGTCGTCGAGGTCGCGATGGCGAAGGCGACTGCGGGCTGGTATCCCGAAGTCGATGTGGCTCGTCAGGCGCAGACAACAGCCGACAGCTGCACAACGGGGCAAGTCGGGCCAATCGTCTGCGCGCACCTGCGAGCGTGCGCACTGCTGTCTTCTACGGGGCAACGCTGGACAGCCGCATTGCTGCAGCGTTGGCACGCCGTCGACCTGCAGCGTTGGCAGGTCGCTCTTCTGCAGTGCTGGCACGGCTCCTCTACGCAACGCTGGCGCGCGGTCGACCGAGCTGTGCTGGCTGTCGACCAGGCTAGCTGCAGAGTTGCTAGGTGCCTGATGTAGTCATTTCTGTCATTGCTTGTTTATTCATTCTGTAATTCCAACTTTGCTAGTGGAAACTCTTGCCAATTTCTCCCGTGAATGTGCAAGCACTAAGGAACCAAGCAAAGCTACGATCACTCCTAGTAGTTCGTGCCAACCCCCGTAGTCTAGCTCACTACCGTTGTAGAGTGAATCTCCGCAGTGGGGTGCGCTCCTCATTTGCGTGCTCTTTTTATGGCTGACAGGTAAGTGGCCGTTATTATTTATACTTGCCATGTTTCTAACTTGTTGTTTGTCATTTTGCAGCACTCCTGAATCTCTTGTGGTGATGTTCTTGTGCGTTTATATGTTAAGGACTAACTCGTACTTGCCAGGCTAATAACATCAGTTCTTGCAGGTACCATGGCGAAGAGGAAAAGAACTACCATGACCTCGTTGAAATTTGATGTTTCTGTTTTACTTGTGTTTCAGAATTGCAGGCACAAGTGGTTGAAATGGCAGCAGTGTTTGTTTTTTTGTTGAAATGCCTTAATCCAGATTACTTAGTTGTGACATATAATCTTGATTTTGTTGGCATTAGATGTATGCATCGAAATCTTTATAATCATTCAATTCTGAACCACGTCGAAGTGTTCTCGAGATAACGTCAATCTAACAGACATTTCGTCAGCCAATGCGCTTTGCTTACCCGACATGAAATAGATGATTCGGATTGGCCCAGATGGCATGTTTGTATCCACATTTTACATAGACAGCTGGCAAAAAATATCTACACGTGGCCATTATATGTCCACGTGGCATATGTGACATATATGTGACACATATGTCACTTCGCATGTCACTTTCCAATTGCTGGAACCCTCGCTGAAAAGTTGCGGCAAAGTTCCGGAGCAGTCACTTTGCACGTAGCCCTGCCCCGGTAGCCTTTGACCTAGACTTTTTTCTTGCGAAACGCAAGTTGCTTTCCCGCAACTTTGAAGTTGCGGGAAAGCAACTTTTCGGGCCTTGCACTTTCGGGATATTAATATCGCTGAGAACGGGAGTAACGGCCCGACTTTTCTCGAACGAACGGCGGTTCTCGGGGGATGAGAAAAAATATGAACCACATTGGACTCATCACCTGATGACGTGGTTCGCGACGTGCTTCTCGCCGTACTTAAGCCACGTGTGGCCGTCTCCGTTCACGGCTGAAAGTAACCCGGCCGGCAGCACAGATTTGACACGTTCATGACTGCTGGCAATGGCAGTAACCGAGCTGATATCGGTACTGCCATCTGCACCGTATGGCTCAACGGTTCTATTCATGGTTCCTCGATTAGTATAAGCAGGGTATCGAAGGTCAAAATAGCAATACTACTACAAATGAACGGTGATAACCTGGAGAGCTAATCAATATCAACGGGAGGTACAAACATTTCAGGCTAAGACGATAGCGGGGGGCGAAACAAAGGCCCAACTCTGTATGCTGGGCTTGTCCGTGCAGAGGTGGTGTGTATACCACTTTATTTACAATATTATATTCGTACAGAGAATACAAATGGTGTGGAGCATAAGAAGCTAACTAACCAGCGTTGCCTGCTATCCTAAGTCAGAGACCCCAACGAGGTCTCAAGAACCAACACCGAGGTACGCAAAATCAGCCAGGGAAGGTGGAGTGGGATCCGGTGGCGCGGAAGGCGTGTCAGTACCGTAGCGTATTTGTGCCCGACGGCAAATGGTTCTGGCCTGCTCGCGCTGATGCACCAAAGAAATCCGCTTGAAGTAGCTCGTCTCGAAAAGCTCTGGAATGAGGTCAGACGTACCACCCATGTCTTGAAGCCGTGTCGCCCCTCGACGGCTGCAGTCCTTATGAAGCTGAGGAATGACGTACCAAAGCAACCGAAGGTTTCGAGGACAAGAGGAAGAAGCTTCACATCTGGTCGGTGTTGTAGCGTAGACGCATACAGGGTCCGTTTCTCGGTTTCGCGAGCAGATGCTGCTGAGCCGATGACAGATGTAGTTTTGGAGTTTGGGGGGCCATGCTGGGGATCGGCAACCGAAACATCTAATGCCCATGTTGTCCCCGAGCTAATGTCACGGCAACTGATGTCAGGGCGGCGTCCTGCAAGAAGATGAGAATCCTCCAACTGCACCACATAACCAAGCTCCGATGTGATGCGGTGAACCTCATGCTTGATAGCGTCGTGAACCCTGGTAGGCTCGTTAGCAGATGGACAGCGGAGGACATGTGAGACGATTGAAGGATCCGCGAATGACGAGCCGCAAGTGCATGTCCGGGTGGATGAGAGCTGTGGAATGGGGAGACCAAGACGAATAGCAGCTGCAATGCACCACTCTGTGGATGAAAGCTGCATGTGCGGAGAACATGGAGCCACAGTGAGCCAGTCACCAGCATGGGGCCCTTGGAGGGAGGTCAAACGGGCCAAATGTTGGGGGGAGGCTACTGTGGACCGCACGCACTCGAGCATGACAGCGTCCAGGTGTTGTGAGAGGAAGGAATACAACTTCTGTGGGTAGCCAGCGTGGAGTGCAGGCCAGGTGGGGAAGTGCTGTCGGACGGACGGATGAAGCTTGGATAAGGCCTTCGGAATGCATGGGTCAAGGCGGTCCATGGTGTCTGAAGTGATAAAGGGGCGGAAAATGTGAGAGCCGTGGATGGTGAAGCATGAGGAGAGCAATGAAGCTGTCTGTGCCCAACTGCACAGGTAACTAAGAGTAGCAGCTGCAGCTGATGATCGGAGGCCAAACCCCCCAAGGCGGATGGGAAGGAATGTCTGTCGATGTGCCGTGGCAGTGTGGTCAAATGTAGGGGGCCAGTAGTCAAGGCCGATGAGGCGAACAAAATGGTCGAGCAAGCCGTTGTCCCAGTCAGTATAGAGCTCTTCTATCTCGGGGAAAGGCGCAACTGTGCGGAGGAGGAATGAGGGGCGGGCGGAGACGCAGAGAGAAAGGATGCGAGAGGCAGTCTGAGGGTCATGAAGGTCATGTAGGAGAGGCAGTGATGAGGAGAAAGAGAGTAGCTTGTCCCGTACTGTAGAGATGATGTGGGTATCTGAACCGATTGGTACTCCCGCAACCGTGATACCGTTAGGGGCAATGACGATGTCTGGTGGAGGTGTAAGGCCAGAAGGGAGGTCCAAAGGGGCCCAAAGGGAGCATTTCGATGGTTGCACCCTCAGGCCGAGGCTGTTGAGACGAGCTGTAAGTGCTGTATAGGCAGGAAACACCTCCCGTGCAGGGCCAACCATGTATGTGTCATCCGCGTAGGAAGTGATGAAGATTGATGGAGATTGCTGCTGAATGGGGCGGATGGCCAGATGCTGGGTAAGGGCGAACAAGAATGGCCCACATGGATCGCCCTGACGAACACCTGATGATGACTGAAGCGTTTCGATAAGCGGGCCGCTGCGGTAATGGAGTGGAGAGGGGGAGGCGTAGAAGAGGCGGAAGAAAGGGATGAGGCTGGAGAACGGGGAGTCGCGCAGAGCGTTGAACATAGCGAAACGGCTGAATGAGTTGAAAGCATTGGCCACATCCAGTTCCAGCACGACCCAGTCTGGGTGGAGAGATAGGGCTGACTGGACTGCGTGGGCCATAACCTCGATCCCTGCAGAGACAGCGACCCCAAACTGCAAGGAGGGAAGGAAGAAATCCCTAATCTGCTGCTTGAAGTGAAGAGTGACGCAACGAAACAGCAAGCGCGGCAATATTTCGCTGATGGCAATGGGGCGGACGCCTCCTTGCGGCTTCTGAAGGGCGACAAGAGTAGATGTGGTGAAGTAAGGTCGGACAGTCTGCGGGAGGTCGCCCTGCAGCCAATTCTGGAACAGGCGGAGGAGATGCGGCAGGTGAGACTGGTACGAGAGGAAGGTATCACGAAGGTGCTCAATGAGCCACCCAGAAGGACCAGCAGCTGTGCCTCGAGGGGCTGACCGCAAGGCCTGATGAAGAAGCGGGACGGTAAGCTGAGGCACCTCTGGAGGCGAGAAGTCGGAGAGCCAGTCCGGAAGTTCTTCAGGAGCAGGAGGGTGCTTGGCCTTAAGCGCAGCAACGGTCTCTAGAGTCGGTGGGGCAAGCTCTCCAGCCTCTAAAGCAGCAAGGGAACGCGACCAATCTCCGCAATGCGCGAACCGCTTGGCCCTGTTCAACCGAGCAAACGTAGATGTGGACCGGGCGGACGATGGATTGTGCGGTCGGGATGCCGGTACAGCTGCAGCGACAGCTTCGTTGAAGAGGGGGAGCCAGTCACCTTGAATGAAACGGCGCGCATAGGCTGTACATGCCGCCGTGGCTGAATGTGAGGCAGAAGTAGTTGAAGAGCGAAGCACGAGTCGGGGGAAAGCGAGGAGGAGGAAATGAGCTGCAGGGTCGTGAGGGAAGATGACAAGACGACGAATCGGTATGAGCAAAGCATATAGGACCAGCAGGCGAGCTCGCGGCGGGATCCGGCGTAGCAATGGGCCAGGGGTAATGGTGGGACTAAAGAACGTCCCCTAATCCCAGCTTATAACAGCTCCCCATGTCTGCTGAGAAATCGGCGGAGGCGCTGAAGAGGACGGGGAGGTAGCGGCGGCACGAGGAGGAGGTGGGCGGGCTGCTTCTTGACGGGCTGAATCGTTGCGGGAGCATGCAGAGAGGTGGCGAGTGAAGCCACCCGAGCTGGTGAAGTTGGTACGGTTGCAGGTGGAGCAGCGAAATCTTGGGCCCGGAACCGAAGTGGGTGGAGGAGGGGAAACAGCAGCCGCAGCAGGGTGCGAAGCAGGTGTAGAAGCAGGAGGAGGGGAAGAAGCAGGGGGAGGCTGCGAAGTAGGTGCAGCTGCAGGTTCTGGATGGCGAGAGGAGTGTTGTTGGGAAGAGGGTAAGGTGTCTGTAAGGACTTGATGGAGTACGTTTTTCTGCTCCTTTGAAATGAAGCGGGGTGAGGCTGATGACTTGGGGTGTTGAGACGAAGAGGCTGGGGGGTGTGGAGCAGATGATTCCGGCAGTGGCGATGAAGTGTGTGCAACAGTTGGTGCAGTAGGGCGAGATGGTGAGCGCGGTGTCTGGTGAATCGGAAGAGCCGCAAAAGCTGGGGTTGAGCGTGATCGACACCACAGTACAAGAAATCTGAAGGGTCCAAGGACTTCCCCACTGGCGCCATGTGATCTCTATGCTTCCAATTGGCTACGATGGGCAGTAGCAATGTCTTCAACTTTGTAACAATGCAAAAGCTCGGGCCGAGAAAACCAACGTCAGGGTTACTGGACAGGCTAGGTTTCGCATTTGCAATGTCAGGGTTTCACAATGTCGTGGGAAGACCTCGCCCAAATCCCTCCGCGAAAACCCGTTCCCCCCTGCGGGTTTTCCTCGGAGGGATTTTCGATTTCCCGCAGTCGCGTAGCGGGGCACGCGAGGGGCGGGAGCCGACCCCTCATCCCACCCAAAACGAGCCCCGCCAGCTCGGAGTGGTCCCCGCACGAGCTGGCGATGACGCCAGCTGCTCCCCAACGTCCGTCGAGGAAATCCGCCTCAGTCGACGGATTCCGTCTAAACTCGACGGAAAGTGCCGCAGAGAAAGTGTGGCAGTAACGCGCCACAGAGCAATCTGATACAAAGCACAGCTGCAACTGAAATAAAAAACGTAAAATAAATAAATAAATAAACTGCAAGGCAAACTTGATAAGGAATAGGAGGCCTTGAGAAACAAGGGCAATCCCTAAAATTATTATTAATAGCTCTATCACCAACTTTAATATTCTTCATGCTTCAGAATTGTTAAGAAAAAAAGTTTTCCATCCGTATCGTTGTTTCAATAATTGTTTACATCTCCATTGACGTTGGATTATGCTCTCGGCTGCACATTTGTCAGCTTGATAATTTTACTGAAAATCATTGAATACCCAGGCCTGAATTAGAACAAATAACAACAATCTGATACGGTACCTACAAGATTATGCGTCTACAATCATGCAGGTACAAGGAAAGCGACGAGACAAAATAGCTAGAAATCAAGGAGAAAGGAGATGGAGAAGGAAAGGGAAAAACACATAACAACCCTCCTCAAGGTACCCTACGTTCACGCCCATCTGATACGGTAGTATACGAAGGAGGTGCAGGTCGACGGTCGCACCACCAGACACATAGCGCAGATGGGAGGTAGAACATGTGTCGACGATTTCGCTACCCGTGCGCCATAGAGCAAGTGATGATGTTCCGCAGGTCGGCCTTTCTAAGACCTACTGGGCGACTTTCGCTCAGAAGCCGGGTATTGCAGTCGAGTAACTTACATCGCATGGCTCGACGCTGCTTGGTCGAACAACGTTCGCCGAGACCAGCTCGTCGAGCAACGCACGTCGAGCAGTGCCCATCGAAGGGCCCCGTCGACCACTATCGCGCTCTAGCAATGCCCATCGACATCGTCGATCAGGAGATTCACTCTACAACGGTGGTGAGCTAGACTACGGGGGTTGGCACGAACTACTAGGAGTGATCATAGCTTTGCTTGGTTCCTTAACACTTGCGCATTCACGGGAGAGATTGGCAAGAGTTTCACTAGCAAAGTTGGAATTACAGAATGATAGAACAAGCAATGACAGAACTGACTACATCAGGCACCTAGCAACTCTGCAGCTAGCCTGGTCGACCGCCAGCACAGCTTGGTCGACCGCCTGCCAGCGTTGCGTAGAGGAGCCGCGCCAGCATTGTAGAAGAGCGACCTGCCAGCATCGCGGGTTGACGGCGTGCCAACGCTGCAGCAGAGCGGCTGTCCAGCGTTGCCCCGTAGAAATCAGCAGTGCGCACGCTCGCAGGTGCGCGCAGACGATTGGCCCGACCTGCCTCGTTGGGCATCCATTGGCTGTTGTCTACGCTTGACGAGCCACATCGACTTCAGGATACCATTCCGAAGTCGCCTTCGTCATCGCGATCTCGACGACGTTCGCGTGCCTCCGCAGAACTCGTCGAGCAGGTTACCCGGTCGACCTGGACACCACCAGGTGCTCCGGTCGACCATCAGTGTCTCCGGTCGACCACCAGATGCCCCTGGTCGACCACAGCTCCCGTCGAGCTACCCCCTGGTCGACGGACCCCTTCCGTCGACCAGAACTGCTCCGTCGACCTCCCGGTCGAGCTGCAGGTCGACGGGATGCTTCGCGGGCCTCGCGGTCGAGCTACAGGTCGACGGGATGCTCCGCAGACCTCCCCGTCGAACTGTAGGTCGACGAACTGCTCCATCGACCCTCTGGTCGAACTGCAGGTCGACGGACTGCTTTGTCGACCTCCCGGACGGCCCACCCGTCGCGTTTTCCATACGCGTTAGAGTGCGCCGATGTCGACATAGATGTTGCGTTGATACGACATAAAACGAGGTGTTGTCGAAAACAGTCTGGCGACGAACAATTGTCATATTTGAAGTGCCGACCTTTTCAGGTATTGTAAAATTTTTACAAAATTAGAAAGCTGGAGCTTGTTGAATATAATGATTTTTTTTCCAACTGTTTCCTACCTTGAAAATAGTATAGTCCTTTTGATGGGATAAGAAAATGCAGTCGTCAAACTCTACTATGACAATAGCATTGCTTATGTCGATTGTATGCGTTAACGACGTGTATTAACGTATTGTAAAACTCGAGCGTTGTTGATTACTTATGTGATTGTGGGTCTAGATGCCACAAAGAGAAATGAAACGGGTTGCATGCGACGGTAGATTTGCTTGGCCGAGTGTTATAAACGTCTCAACCGTTTTGCCCTTTTCCGTCGAAATCTTTTTGACGAATGGGGAGAATGCGCAGCTCGATAACTTCCGCGTCGAATGCAGATGTTGACAACCAAAATCTAGAAACGCCCTCTGCTGTCAATAATTCATTTCATCGAACAGCGTCTAGTCCCTTTTCCCGAGTGTGAAATCGGAACCATATCGAATGAGTTTCCCTGTTCGACAGAAAGTAATGCAGTACTGTTTCGACAAAAATGTGAAAGTGTAAGGGCAAAGATTTTCAATGTCCTTTGTGAGACGTTTAGCAACATCCTTAAGTATTGTCGAACATCCCCGAATCAACTCTTGTCGAACACCACATTTGAGTTTTCGTCGAAGAAATTTTTTTTGCCGCGAATTGAAATATTGTCGAAGGCGATACACCCTTTTAATGTCAACTAGGGCTCTGTCGAAGACAGAAAATCGGAGAACTGAAGTTCAAATGCCCTTCCGTCGAGGCCAAATTGACACATTTTCGACGGAAATACCCCTTCCGTCGAGAACAAAATGTCTGCACAAAAAGAAACAATTGTATATTATTTTTTTGGGTCTTAATTTGGCTGATATTTTTAGTTACGAAACACTTTTTTTAATTCTACTATGGTATATCGAGTTGACTCCCGTCGAGCTCCATCAATTTCTACTGTTACGGCTGACATATATATATGCGCATAAGAATACGACATTGAGACGGGGGGTTTCGGAGGGTTTTTTTCGCCTGGTCAGGAGGGAATTTTGGGGGGACCGGAGGGATTCGGAGGGTTTCCGCATTTCCGCATTTGCCCCGAAATCCCTCTGTGCCAGGGCGGGCGGGGCGACATGTGATGACGTCACGCGTGTGTATATAATAGGAGAAGATCATATTGGGGCCGAACATTAGCAGGGAAGTGTCCAAATTAGGGCCGGATAGCCGAACCTGGAGTTTTGGAGCTAATAGCCGATATTTCCATGTCAGAATGTTGTATTTGTCTAGCCTGCAGTGGGGTACTCTATAGCGAGTACAGCCCAATCTAGGGTTTGCTATTTGTATCTCAACTGCTGCTAGTCCAAACCCTCTTTCTGCTTCTAAACTTTCTCCTACTACTTCGACATGCTATCAGAGCAGGTCGACCCCCTTGGGTCGATCCTGTGGGTGGGCCCACCACCTAATGCTTCCGCTGCTGTTCTACTTGTCGCGCGCCTTGGTCGCGCGACGCCGACTTCCTGCCGGGTTTTCATCCCGCCGTGCGCTCGGGGCGCGCGGCGGTTTTCTGCCCGCCGTGCGCCCCGAGGCGCGCGGCGGTTTCCTACCGTAGAGGACCCCCGCGCGCCCCCGCCCTGTCCGTTGCGGCGCCCTTGGGGACCCGCGCGCAGCCCCCGCTGCCCCTGTCGGCGGTCGCGTCGCCCCGCCATCCCCGTCACGCCGCCCTGGGGAGCCGCGTGCGACCCCTCGCTGCCCCGTCGACGGTCGCGTCGCCCCGCGGGACCCGCGCGCGATCCCCGTCGACCCTCGCGTTGCCCCCCGGAGACCCGCGAGCCACCCCTGGAGCCGTGCGCGACCCACCCCCTGCCCCGTCGCGGCGCCCTGGGGGGCTGCGCGCGGCCCCTCGCTGCCCCATGGTGGCGCCCTGGGGGCCGCGCGCCTTCCCCCTCGCCGTCCCCCGCGCTCCTACCCCGTTCCGCCCGTTTTAGGGTTTGGGGGTGGGGAGTGTGGGGGTGGCGGGTGTGGGGGTGCCGGTTGTGTGCCCCGTCCCCTCCTCCTCCTCCTCCGTCTCCCGCTGCTGCAGCTGCCGCTCAGGGGGGTGGGTGTGTGGGGAGCCGACGGAGTGGTACTAGGGGGGTGAAAGGGGAGTGGAGCTAGGGGCGAAGCAGGGGGTGTGTGTCGAGGGGTGTGGGACTGTTGGGGGAGGTTGAGCGGAGGCCGCCGTCGTGTCGTCTGCAGCGCCTGTATTCCGGGGTTCTGATAGCCACCGGTAGCTCAGAGAGCCGGTTGCACCTGTCGCCCGTGGGTCCGTTGCTCCTGTCGCTGCTGATCAGACGCAGAGCCTGTTACTCCTGTATTCCGGGGCCCTTGCTCCCGGTAGCCACTAGAGCTGCACCAGAGCCGTCTGTTGCCCGTGTGTCTGCAGCTTCAGTCGTCGCCTCCACTCTTCTCTCCTCTCGCCAGCCCTCCTCCTCCTCACTTGCCCTCTGTGACTGCCTCTAGCTTTGCTCATAAAATGTGAACTACTATTATGACTGCTTGTTGTGCTGATTACACCCCACTTTGGCTATGGGGGTGTGTCAGAATGTTATATTTGTCTAGCCTGCAGTGGGGTACTCTATAGCGAGTACAGCCCAATCTAGGGTTTGCTATTTGTATCTCAACTGCTGCTAGTCCAAACCCTCTTTCTGCTTCTAAACTTTCTCCTACTACTTCGACATTCCAT